CCCTAAACCCACACCCCTAAACCCCTAAACCCCTAATTAAACCCTAAACCCTAAACCCCTAAACCCCTAAACCCCTAAACCCTAAACCCTAAATCCACACCCCTAAACCCTAAACCCCGACTTCACGGCTTGTGAAGTCAGCTGATGTCCGCAGTGAGTCCTCGTCGGACGTCTGGGCCGCACATTAACGGTTTAGAGTTTAGGTTTTAGGGTTACGAGTTTAGGGTTTTGGGGTTTAGGTTTTAGGGCTTTGGGGTTTAGGGTTTTGGGGTTTAGGTTTTAGGGCTTTGGGGTTTAGGGTTTTGGGGTTTAGGTTTTAGGGCTTTGGGGTTTAGGGTTGGGGGTTTTGGGTTTTGGGGGTTCAGGGTCAGTAGCTTTGCAGAGAACGGCTTTGGGGTTGACAGGGTCTGCGGCTTTTCTGGATGCCGCCTGCAGCCGGGTTGGGCGCGGGGCACTCTGGGATTGAGGTGAAGGGTTTAGGGCGCAGAGTTCAGCAAAAATGACAGCTCGAATTTCGGGACCTGCTGCAACTTGCTTTCAAGCCCTCACAGAGAATGATGGGGGGCCCTCGTCTACATCTTGGGACCCCTTCTTGTCCAAACTTCCCTACCTAACCCTAAACCCCAAAACATAAACCCTAATTAAGCCCAACACCCCACCCTTACAGCAGCCGGCTCCTCTTCACCGTCATCAGCCACCTCCATGGCTACCGGGTCGTGTTCACACGCCTCCTCCTCCTCTGCTCCCTCCTGCTCGCCTTCTTCACCGGCCTCTCTGCCAGGCTCCTGGGTCACCTGGGACGAATCTTGGAGGCTTTGAAAAATCAACTTTTGGCTCCTGCGAAAGAATATGCCATACCTACATGAAAGTCAGAACCTCCCATCATATAGTTCTTGTCCATACAAAAAACCATACTGCAAAACATAGCCCTAAGCCCTAAACCCCAAGGCCCCAAGCCCCAAAACCTCCAAACCCCAAAACCCCCAAACCCTAAACCCCAAACCCTAAACCACTAAACCCCAAACCCCCAAAGCGCCAATCAAGATTAGGCCAGGTCACTACCTCCGGCTGCTCTGCAGCCTCGGGTTCTTTTAGAGACCCAAGCTCTTCGTCAGCCTCCTCCCCTTCCTCTTCTCCGTCTTCTTGCGCCTCCGCCGCGGTGATGTTCTTGGGGTTTAGGGTTTAGGGTTTAGGGGAAACATCTATACTACACATCCTAATCTAGCCTGCTCTAATCTGACCTACCATCAAAACTAGTCTGCGTACTAGACTGTATACGACCATACTACATGCAGCATATAAGACTCTAGATAAAACCCACAAAATACGTCTATACATATATATATATATATCACCATAGTAATGAAATGCGGAATATACTGCAACATAACAGAGCATTATCGCCTGGACTGCAACATGATATCAGAGGCTTTCCAGTAGTCACACACACACACTGAGCAAGACTTTGGTAAGATGGCATGCAATGAGATAAAATACAACAGGAAAATAAAACAGTACCGTGAAAACACCCAGTGAAGCAGAATAGCACATAGCTGGTCATAACATAGCACAGTATACAGTACAGAGCGTTAACAGAATGACATATGACACAATACAGCATGACAGAATATAACACTAAAGCTGACAATACATCGTGATACTACTGTACTCTAGTATAACATCATCTGGCACACGTTAGTTTGCGATAATACCGTGTTAGTATTATACTATACGCTGTGGTTTGGCATGGTGGTAAAATCTAATGCAATGTATCAGGCGATAGTAGTTGAGTCGTGTTAATAAAGTACTAGTATTGTTATTGCTGTTGGTATTGGCCATAGACATCTGATTCGCATTAGTATTGGTATCAGTCTTTGCATAGTATAACGCATCATAGGTTCATGTGATGGAACACCATGTCTCGTTCTCTTGTATACACATGTACATGTAATGTCTGCACTTGTTCTGCAAGCTTCAATGAAAACAACACGCTATTGCTGTTGCAAACATGCATGTAACTGCAGTTCAATAGCAAATCATGCCGTAGGAGCCATTATACCTAGATATTTATGAACAAAGCCGCTTAGGCCATGGGAACACCAAGCAACAACACTGTATGTTCAATAACTGCCAATTGCAAGGGACTTAACACTTAGTATAGGTTTTGGAGCATATTGTCTTGGAATTATAGCAATAGTGAACTACAAGGGGATTCTCCTGCTACTTACTATTTACTGACTCAGACATCTACATTGAACTCTTCAAAAATCCGTATAGACAAATCATGACCCTCCCCACAGTAAAACCCTATGAAACCTATCCCGGCTCCCACATTAGCCTCTGCGTCGTCTTCCCTTCCTGGGCTGTGAAGTAACCAAGGAGAAAAAAGTATAGACTTTTATCTCATAATGGTTCCTTTAAGGAGCAGGTCCCCCAAAAAAAAGTATTCAAGTATGGTACTCCAAAGCCCAGCTTCCCTCGTTGGGCTTCTCGCCGTTGGCATCTCCATCTTCGGCCTTGACCTGTCCAGGCAAGCTTAAGCGAACATCGGGACCCCGTCTACTTTAGGGTTTAGGCCCAAAAGCTACGGCCTAGGTTTAGGGTTTAGGGGCTTAGGGGTTTAGGGTTTAGGGGTTTAGGGGTTTAGGGGTTTAGGGTTTAGGGTTTAGGGGTTTAGGGTTTAGGATTTAGGGTTCAGGGTTTAGGCCTCATAGGGGGTTCATGGAGACTTTAATTTGCAGGACTCTGTATGGGCTTTAAACTTTAGACAGTAGCAATGGGTAGAATGAGAACCCCTAAAGGTTAACAGTTAACAGCAAAACCAGCAACCCTTGGCAAGAACCATCAAAGACACAATGGCATTCAACCAAGCATGCCAGTTCGAATGCTGTTGATGATGATGATGATGATGATGACAAACAAGGATGTGCGGTGCGAGAACAACAACACTGCTGCCATGGGCTTAAAGGAGATGCAAGTTGTATTGTCACTCTGCCAAGCCTTCTCTACCCAGCCTTGACGAAACCCTAAACTGTAATCCCCTAAACCCTACGCCGTAAGACCTAAGCTTCCCATGCTGTACAGTGGCCTCCACATTCCCTCCCTTCACAACATCTGCTGCGGTTCCGCAAAAGAGGGGTTTTGGCCTTTGGCGTGAAGACGAACTCCCCACAAAAAAACAACTAAGGCCTCGGAATCCCGCAAGCCTTCAGCTTACAGTTTAGGGTTTAGGGTTTAGGGGTTTAGGGTTTAGGGTACCCACCCCACACACAGCAAGCGCGTGCAAAATCACGATAAACCTGAAGACTGACTTGCAGAATGACTTCGGTACCATTCAGAAGATGACGTGACTTCTTCACAACTTCTCCAAGCCCTGCAGCCCAAAAGCCTGCGCCCTCAAGCACAACAGCTAAAAGAAGGGGGCCTAGATAATACCCGATACCATTTTGGGAGGTGCCTTCTCAGAATCATAGGAAACTATACCCCAAAACCCTGTTCTAATGTGTGCCATCTCATGGGGGAGGGAGAAATACTACCATACTTATATTGTATACAGACTACGAGAGAGAGACAGCGATTACCAATCATTCCGACCCTATATCAAGACTACGACCTGCACCAAGTCCGAGCCACTTACTGAATGCAAAAACACCACAGCCAGAGACTCCATCATAGGGTTTAGGGTTTAGGGTTTAGGGTTTAGGGTTCATGAAGTAACATGCCCTCATTATCGTTCAAGGATCCCTGATCTGGGCTCTTCCTGATGAGGCATGTTGAACCAACGGTAGAACGACGACAATGGAAAACCCGTTCAAGCGCACATGACCTGGAATAAGCTCCGGGGATCCGAACCAAAATCAACAACCCCAAACCCTGAACCCTAAACCGTAAGCCCTAAACCCTAAACCCTAAACCTTAAACCCTAAACCCTAAACCCTTTCGAGACCTCCTTCTTCCGCCGGTATCGGCTGACGCAGATCACGGCCTGATCAAACCCAGAGGGTCTGCACCACGATCATTATTCCTTTCTTAGGGCTCAGGGTTTAGGGTTTAGGGTTTAGGGGTTTAGGGTTTAGGGTTTAGGGCTTAGGGGTTTAAGGTTTAGGGTTTAGGGCTCTGGGCTTAGGATCTAGGGTTTAAGGTTTAGGGTTTAGGGTTTAGGACCCCAACAGCCGTAATAGTAAGCCTCTGTGGATCCAGCTGAGTGGTCGTATGTTACTCTTTGGACCCTCTGCAACAGCCAAACCGATGGATGAGACGAATTGCTACACAGGCGTTTAATCAGTATTTTTCAACACGTTTTGTGCGCGTGTGCGTGTGTGTGTGTATATATATATATATATATTTATATTTATGTTTATATGTATGTTTATATTTATCTGTATATTTATATATAGTCCAATATCTACATTAGCAACTGTGCGCGGGTTCTACAAATAGTTATTAAAGCCCTGTATTGGATTTACGGGGTTAAATTAAATGGTGGTGGGTCAATCTCGGAATTTCTCAAGTATATTCAATAAAGAAGCCTTAGGAATAGTATTGGTAATTTAGGCGCTTACATCATTCACCCAAATCCTAAATACTAGCCCCCAGACCCCTCAACCCCAAACCCGAAGCCCTCAACCCCACACCCTAAACCCTTAACGGCGAGGTACGGCGCCAGGATTAGGAGACCCCGTCCCTTCCTTAGTCCCCTGTTTAGGGTCCTTGTGATAAGGATTCCCTCTAAAGGACGGTTGCGTGGAATGGAGGCCGGTGGTTAACAGCTGTGCGAGACGCTGTAAGTAGGTTAAGGGCCTGTTTAGGGACTTTTCCTTTCTGCCAACCGTCCTCTCTGCATGGTTTCCATAGCAGTCCTATTTCAACCCTAGGCCGTAAACCCTAAACCCTAAACCCTAAACCCTAAACCCTAAACCCCTAAACCCTAAACCCTAAACCCTAAACCCTAAACCCTAAACCCTAAACCCTAAACCCGAGGTGTGCTCAGGTCCCTGAAATTCTGAACCTCCCACCTGCCTCGATTGATTGCACCACAGGACAAAGCCTTTAAGCCTTTAAGATCGCGCGCCCGTAGACACTAGGATTTGGAATAGAAGTTCCTCTGCTTGCAGCTTAAGGTTTAGAGCCCCTGACCGCTAAGCCCTAAACTCTAAATGCAGGTGATCTGAGCAGAACCCCCTGCCCCTGAACCCTGAAGTCTAAACCCTCAAACTCAAGTGAGTGAGCCGAGCATTTTGTGGGCAAGCTCCTTAGGCTCAGAGTTTCACCGAGGGACTCGTTGGTTGTCTTCATGCTCAGAACAGGGTTTTCGCGCACATTATACGATTATCGTTAAAACTACGTGACCCTCCGGAGTAGTACTACTGACCTTTCAGGCTATTATAGTAGGTCTGGTGGCGGGGTTTAGGTCTGACGGTTCGGAGCTTTGGGCCTTTCTGTGCGGGAAGTTTAGAAACACAGCAAACCTAAGCCCTAACCGCTAAAGCTCGAATCTGCCTTTACCGCCTCCATAACGCTGCTCGCATCATGGCTCTTCAGCCTTGAGCATTGAGCATGGGAGATGTCTAAAGATTAGGTTTAGGGTTAAGGGAAGATTTGGGTTTAGGGAAGATAGGGTTTAGGGTTTAGGGAAGATTAGGTTCAGGGTTTAGGGTTAAGGGAAGCTTAGGGTTAGTATGGGTTAGAGTTTAGGGTTGCCGAACTTGCTTAGGGTTGGAAGGGTTGCAGATAACAAATTGAATGGGTTTAGGGTTTAGGGTTTAGGGTTTAGGGTAGGGGTTCAGGTTGGATGCTGCCCCCACTCTGTAACACTTTGGATAAGAGTCATAGTATGATTATATATAGCCCTTAATATGGCCCCATATAGTGGGGGCAGTACCCAAGGTTGAGGGTTATTGGATGTTATTCGGATTTGGGTTGGAGATTGAGACAAGGCCTTGCATGAAGGATGGGTAAAGGGGATCACGGTGGAGGCGTCGGATTTCTGACTTGGGTCAAGTGCCTTCGAAAGTACGGACTATGGTAAAGGACATTAGATGGTAAGAGTGTCCAAGATTTATGTATTGTACTATGTACTAAGGTGTTGTGTTGTATTGTATTGTAAATATAAGTGTATATATACATAAGATTTTGTACATACATACAGTTACATACATATACATAAGAACATACATACATACATACATACATACATACATACATACATACATACATACATACATACGCATATCCATACACACATCCATACGTACATACATACAGACATACATACGTACATGTGTATACATGTCTACATTTAGGATTAGGTTGTATGGTATGTGAAGTGGCTCGTGAGCTGCAAACCCTCAGATTTAGGGCTTGGAACTTTCGAAGCTTCGAACAGCTGCGAACCAGAAAGCCCAGAAGAGCCCAGGTATAGTATAGTACAGTACGGTGTAGTACGGCCTAGTATAGTACAGTATTTTACAGTGTTGTGTAGTCTAGTACAGGAAAATGTACTATATTAAAGTATAGTATAGTGAAGTGCAGTATAGTCTAGTACAGTGACGTATAGTATAGTATAGTATAGTATAGTATAGTATAGTACAGTACAGTACAGTACAGTATAGTATAGTATAGCGTAGTTTCTGTAAAGTATACGCATTACCGTAAAGTACAGCATAGTACAGCATAGTACAGTATAGTATAGGCAAGGATAGTAGAGTATGTTATAGTCTACCAGTGCAGTGTAGCATTGATGCCAAATCTGTGACTCTGATCTGTCCAAACATGTGGCCCGTGAGCAAAATCCTAAACCCAAACCCCCAAACCCTTCTAATGTAGGGACCTTAATAATTAGAATACAGTTTTTGGGGGTTCCTTTTTAAAAATAGAAGTATATATATATATATAATATACCCCCAAACCTTGTTCTATCTATTAAGGCCCCTTTTTCTTACACAGAACTGGAACCCCGGCCTTCCTTGAGCTGCAAACACCGAAACATACCTTCTTCCGTGTTTAAGGTGTAGGGCTTAGGGCTTACAGGGTTTAGGGTTTAGGGGTAGGGTTTAGGGTTTAGGGTTTAGGGTTTAGTTTTTTTTTTGCGGGCCCAGGAATTAGGGTTTACGGTTTGGGGCATCCCCTTACCTCTGAGCCTTACTTAGCCCTAGACCCGAAGCCACGAACCACGTCGCAGTAGTAGTATCCCCTTTGAAGCCCCATATGATACGACTGACTGCTGTACATCCGTCGAGCCCCGGCAAGGACCCCAAGACGCAGTTACACGAAAAAACATAAGTTAGGCTGGTATATCCCCGTAATCGCCCCTGAAAGCAAGCCCAAAAAAGCGAAGATGTCTCGCGCCAAACTCTAGACCCTCAGCCCTAAGCCCGGTCCATGTATGAGTGCTGTTTCGGTTCCTGATCCTGGGCTTCCAGCGCACAGGACGCTGAAGAGTCGCCGGCCGGTTGTTCCTGGGCCCTTTTCGAGGATATCTGGAAGGGCTCAATGAGGTGTGTTGTAGGTGTGTTGCATAGGGCCTTTGTAGGTTTTTTGGTAGGATGAGGGAGGATTCTATCAAGGACTCCTTCCGTCTATGAGGGTTCAGTCAGGGTTCGAAAAGCGTTGTAAAAGTGTTTTAGGGCTAAGGCTAAGGGCATAAACCTAGGCGGGCGCGGGAATGGGCTTCCTCATCTCAGACATTATGTCTAGGGTTTGGTGTTCCGGGTGCATGCGCCCGTCTGTCAATCACTCTTGTGGTCTGGGGACAATGTGGTGTATGGCATTCACTGGTCCATGTGACTTCTGCTGCGTAGGCTCGAGCCTCGGAATCGAGCGACCTCTATATGTTGTGTGTGTGTGTGTGTGCGTGTGTTCATCGCTGTCCGCCCTGGCGCCAGCCTTGTCCATCTTGGGAGGGTGTTGCGTCCGTCACCCGTATCCGCCACGCCATCACCATTAGCGACTGTCATTACTATCCTGGTCATAGTCGCCGTCATCATCCCGTCTCATGATCCTCTCCATTGTCATTCTCACGACATCATCTAAATGATAGGATCTGTGCTGTAATTTCCTAGACCCCTCAATCTAATGCCCCAACCTTCAACCGCTCTTTTGCATCGTCCTCATGGCCGTCATGGAAAATGCGGCCGACATGTAGAAACTGCACCAAATCAGGCAAGCTTCTAAATGAGCCCCTCAGAGTAGACCCTATAAGCCCTGAACCCTCAAACCTAAAAGAGCAGGCCTCTTCACTATAAGCACCCCATTGGCTAAGGCTCAGGTCCCCCGAATCTTCAACCCTGAGAATGTCGGGTTAGGGGTTTCGGATTCAGGGTCTAGGGTTTAGGCCGTAGCATTGTAGGGCATAGGGTTTAGGGTCTAGGATTTTGGGTTTTGGGCTCTGGAGGGGACCCCAACACCCTAAACCCTAAAACCCTAAACTCCTAAACCCCCAACACCCTAAACCCTAAACCCCTAAACCCTAAACCCTAAACCCTAAACCCTAAACCCTAAACCCCTAAAACCCTGAACCCCCAAAAAAGTGGACCTCAGCAAGAGCCCGAGCCGCTCAGAGTCTTTTTACCCCTTCTGCTGTTGGCTCTCACCGAAACATGCAATTTGAGGGCCCGTAAGTGTAGGGTTTAGGGCTTAGGGTTCAGGGTTCAGGGTTTAGGGTCTAGACTGTGCTAAACTCAAAAAGCTGAGCTGTGGGTTTTAGGCTAATCAGTTCATCACGAGTCAAAGATCCAGGCACTCATATTGCACAGAACTGCTCGCAACGAACTGCAATTTTGAGCAAACCGCCACGACACCCGGTCCGGCCCTGTGATGCGTTTTGCAGACACATGGGTGGTTGTCAAANNACCTATTATTTAGGGTACCCAAAAGGGACCATGATTTTGACAACTACCCACATGAAGAATGTCGAGCTAGGTGGCAGGCTACAGGGTTCAGTTGAAAAAGTCTCGTCCATCCCCCAAAAAAACCCTAGATCCTAAT